CCGTATTAAAGAGAACTCAGACATTCGATGAAAGGTATCGCTCGGATCTTGCGCACCTTATTGTGGTGATGGCTCTTCAAAGCAAAAAACTTTTCTTTATTCCGAGTATTGTACACAGTGATGTGGTCTATGGTGGTCCCGCTTATTGTGAGGAAATTTCGGATGCTATAGAAGTTTTTTGACCATGCTATATTGTTGCCTGTCTCCTTGTCTCTGGAAGCACAGCTTCTATTGCTTGATGCTCAGCACCGAAGAGGCAGTGTTTTACTTTTTTCATGCTCACTTCTGATAGAGGACAGTGAGTTGGTGTTATTTGTGGATTTGCTACGGTCTTTGCATATTTCTTTTCTTGCGTCACAGAGAGTACTTTGTCCGGCTTTAAAAGAAATTTTATTTGACATGGGTATAGTGCCCCTGGAGCGTCTATCATTAACTCATAGCTGTGATGTTCGGGCTGTAACTGGTGCCACGCCATTTCACAGCTTGTGTGAGTTTGTTGCATGGGCGAAATCGAGAGAGAGGGGGAATTTGTGCGCTCAGGTTGGAGAAATAGACAAAGTTGTTACTTTGTACGATGGACGCATCTGGATTTATGGAAAAGGGAAGGTTGCAACCATCGTCGTCCCCATCAGGAATCCCTTTGCTCTGAATGCCATTCTAAGGGATTGTGAACATGCGTCTCATCTTGCCCGCGCCGTCCTAAGTGGCATCGCGGAGCAAGGTCTGGTTTCCATTGGCAACTATGAGACTTTTCTTGCCGAATATTTGCAGCGTCGCTATGTGCTGTATTCTGATAAAAACAAATATATTAGAGAGCTTGTTTTTGTTTTGCGGTTTACACTGCTTTCTCACGCCTCAAATGCAGGTTTTTCACCGAATGCTTTTTCGCACAGCAACTACGTTGAAGTGGGCAAGAAGGCAACTAAAGCCGTTTCTCCTGCTTCGGCGTTTTGCGAGTCTGAGGAAAAAAAGGGAGACGAAACCGATCTTATGCGTGCTGCCAACACATTTGAAGAAAGGAGGATGGAGGGTATTTGCCAACTTGCGGAATTAATATGGACTGCAATTGACAACGCGTCATTGTTGTTTCGTGTAAAAGAGTCAATTTGAAATGGTACAGCACCAACGTGTGTTTTTTATGCCTTTAATTCTTCGCAAAAGAAGAAACAAACAAAAACAACAAAAAAAAGGCGAAAAAAAAGAAAGTAAATGGAACCTTCTAGATTACACAGTAAAGAGAAAAAAAAAGAGAAAAAAATGCTTTTTATGCAGCTGCTAAGTGCTTTCTCCTTTTTCTTCTTCAAGCTCCTTACCTGCTCATTTTTGTTTCCTTTTTACAAGCACTAAAGATATGAGTGAGCAAAGCAGGAATGACTGGGGTGAAATGGTTCTTCCGGGTGTGTACATGCTTAGAGGTTGCACTGCCCCTAGTCAAGGCCGATTAGTCGGCGTTGATGCAAGTAGACCCCAACTAGAGTTCATTCTTGAAGCAATAGAGGTTATGGAACGACACACTAGCAAATTGAAGGAGAGCAACGAGGAGATAAGAAGATATCTAAGAAACCCTGATTCCGTAATGGAGAGCACAAATGCGCTTTCCACGTCTACCAGTGAGGTTGCGGTGTGTGAGGCAGAGGACGTCAATTCCATTTTGGCGGCTGCTCTTCAGGAAAACGAGGCGCTCATATCCCGCAAGGAACGGGAATTGAATGAATTAAAACAATTGGTACAAAACAACCGTTGTGCCTGTAGCTACCACTCAACTCAGGAAACAAATGTGAACCACTTGGTTCCTGCTGACGCCGGCGGCAATCACGTGGCACCTGACGTAAGGGAAGCCACAGATGAAATGTCGAATGCCCACTTCTCACTTTGAAGTATCATTAAATGAGTTCTGATGTTTCCCGCATTTTTTTGTACAAGAACTGCAACCCAACACAGATAAATAAATAAATACACGAATAATACGAATAATACAGGTGGGAAACCAATATTGGAATTGCCTTTTTTAAAAACTAATTTTTGATTCTTTTCTACTTCTCCTATTTGTCTAGATACGTTTTTGCTTTTTACCTAGTTTGAAAATCTGACAACAAACAAACAAAGAAACAAAAAAAATCAACTCGGTTTAAAAAAGAAATACCATGCCTCCCAAGAAGAAGAGCGATAAGCCGCAACAATCCGGCACAGTTCTGCTTGGCAGACCTGGAAGTAATTTGAAGGTGGGTATTGTTGGACTTCCTAATGTTGGGAAGTCCACATTTTTCAACGTTTTATCCAAGAAAGGTGTTCCTGCGGAAAATCGCCCATTCTGCACCATTGATCCCAACACCGCAGATATTAATATCCCCGACGAACGGTTTGACAAGTTGGTGAGAATCAATAAACCGGCATCTATTGTTCCTGCACAAGTTCACGTCCGGGATATTGCAGGTTTGGTGCGTGGAGCCAGCAATGGTGAAGGGCTCGGTAACGCTTTTCTGTCTCACATTAATGAATGCGATGGCATTATCCACATGATTCGCGTCTTTGAGGAGGTTGAGATTACCCACGTGGAAGGTGATCTGGACCCTGTTCGCGACCTGGAGATTATTTTCTCGGAGTTGGTTTTGAAGGATTTACAGGTGGTCAACGGATTGATTGACAAGATAACGCCCATAGTAAATCGTGGGATTGATAAGAGCAAAAAATATGATTTAGAAGTTCTCTTGAAAATAAAAGAACACCTTGAAAATGGTGAACAGGTTCGGTGTTGCCATTGGAGTGGCAAAGAAATCGACTATCTCAACACCCTACAGCTTTTAACGGCGAAGCCGGCTATCTTTTTGGCTAACATGTCCGAAAAGGATTTTATTCGACAACGCGGCAAATGGCTTGCCAGGCTAAAGGAGTGGATAGACCAGCACACTGGTGAGCCACTTATTCCAATTTCGGCAGAGATGGAGGCCAAGTTTGTCGACATGTCCCCAGAGGAAATAGAGGAGTACTGCAAGGTGAATAAAACAAAGTCTCAGGTGCACAAAGTTGTTACCACCTCGTATCATGCTATCAATTTGATTCACTACTTTACCGCAGGGGCAGACGAGGTTAAGTGCTGGACGATTCAGAATGGCACAAAGGCTCCTCAAGCAGCTGGTAAAATTCACACCGACATGGAGAAGGGATTTATCTGTGCGGAAGTGATCCACTGGGACGACTATGACAAGCTTGAAAGTGAGGCTGCATGCCGTGAGGCTGGTAAGCAGCATCAGGAAGGACGTAATTATGAAGTTCAGGACGGTGATATCATTTTTTTCAAATTTAACGTTTCTAAGGGAGGTAAAAAGTGATTTTATTTATTTTCAAATAAAAGAAATGGAACGGGATGAGCTATATTTCTCCCGCAAAGAAAAAAAAAGAAAAACAATAAATACAAAAAGAAAAAGACTAAATTACTACCTCATTGGGCCCACGACTGGGTCGAATAGATGCAGGGAAGATAATTTAACAAGGAGCTCATATATTTCTTCGTGCATACAATGATCATGAAGGAAAGCATTCCTGGTTTATGTCATGAGCTCTCTTGCTTGCTGAACTATTATTTCTTAAATTATTTCCTGAGTTATAGGGCGGAAGCGGCAATTAGTGAGAATGAAGTCTTCCGGACTATTTCATGGGAATACACAAACACTACTTTACACACCGGTTCAAGACAAGTACTCCTTCTTGATAGAGGATGATAAGCTTCGCGTTGGGGCTAGCAGTATGCAGGGGTGGCGAAGCACCATGGAGGATGCCCACACCATTCATCTCTCGCTACCAAGGTTGCCACCTCACATGGCAGCTGAAGATGCTGCAGTAGCGGCAGTTTTTGACGGACACTGTGGGGGTAAAACTGCCCAAACCTCTGCTATACACATCATGGAATGGATTACCTCCACGGAAGCTTTTGCTGCGGGGAAGATGGAAAAGGCTATTTCTGACGGGTTTCTTACTGGCGATTTAGTTATGCGTAGAAGTCTCCCAAATGAAGCGAGTGGAACTACAGGTAACTGTGTGCTAATAGTTCAAAACCACCTTTACTGCGGTAATGTTGGTGACTCCCGTGCGGTCTTATGTAGGGATGGAGTCGCTATTCCATTAAGCGAAGATCATAAGCCGAATTTGCCACGAGAAAAGGAACGTATCTTAAAAGCAAAGGGGTTTGTTCGTAATGGTCGCGTCAATGGCGTCTTATCTTTAAGTCGTGCCCTTGGTGACTTCGTCTTTAAAGATAGTGATTTGTCGCCTGAAGAGCAGGTGGTAACGGCGAAACCAGATGTAGTGCACATGGAGCTGACTCCGCAGGATGAGTTTGTGATCATTGCCTGCGATGGTATATGGGACATGGTGTCCAGTGAGCGGGCGGTTGAGATTGTTAGAAGTGAAGTGGCAGATCACAGTGACCTTTCCTTGGCATGTGAGAGGCTTATGGAGGCCTGCCTGTCGAGGGTGTCGACTGGCGGTGGTACGGATAACATGACCGTTATCATTCTACAGTTCAAGAGTTTTTTCCTGAAGAAGGTAGAGCGTAAATTTGGGACAATCTTTCCTGAGCCATCAGAGTGAAATTTGATGTTTTCACTAAATTTAATTTTT